AACCAGGCACTGGTCCATCTTGAGAGGCTGCAGGAAGATCACTGCGTTCAGGCCAGGGCTTCAAGACGGCCGAGGGACTGTGTGTCATGGGCATGACACCACTGACCCACCCAGCCACAGCCAGACACCCAGGAGAACCCCTTCTTCCCGCAGCGTCCCCAGCGCCCTCTGCTGGGAGAGCACAACCTCATGCCCACTGTAAAGCGGAGATGGCTTCAGGAAAGCTGGCGCAGTGCCGCAGAGCCCGACTCGAAGGGTGGCGGGAGCTGAGAGGCAGTGACTTGACACCTGGTGCAACAGGATCCATACAAACCTGTCTCTTCTCCATCAGGGTACGATTGGACAAACCAAATCTGCCACCATAACCATGCTGGAATGCCACATTTGAAGGTAGATCTCCCTTGGTTAGGCGTGGGAAGCTGCTGCTAAGGCACCGGGACGCGTGTCACGTGTGGGAGCAGCACTCGTGGTCCTCCCAGGACGCTGGTGCGGCAGCTGCTCCACAGCTCGTCAGCCCCTGCTTTCTGGAAGGACAGGCCTTCTCTTCCCGACCTGCCAGGAATGTGAGTGGGGGTGGGGATCTCTCGGGCAGAGGCTACTCCCACGGTCAGAGGCACTGCGGGTGGAATCTGGTAGAAGTCAATTGATGGTTCTCGGTTCCTGACTTTAAAATAGACATTTCTGGCGGGATTGGAGAGACTAAAATACAATGCTGACCCTGGAGCCTGAGGTCGGGCTCTATTCTGGATGTACAGTGAGCAGGTTTCTGTGTGTCAGTCGGCTGGCCTTGCTATACCTCCACAAACAGAACAAGTCAAACGGAGGCAAGCCCCCACTAGTGACGCCACGGCAGAACCCACTGCCTGGGGTCTGACCAGGACTGCTCAGATCTTTGGTCTTGGTTCCTTGACATTTTCTCAGGATGAAAGGGTTTGCTGGTCCATGTTTCCAAATTTTTGAATCACAGTGTCTCAATGCATCAGTGATCTCTCAGCCCATCTGGACAGGTCATCCGACTTGTGGTTCTCCACCAGGAGGAGACGAGAGCCCTCGTGGTCAACAGCCCTCCTGTGGGACACACCCACGTCTTCAGACACGGGATCTGCAGAGCTCCCTACCTCATGGTCTGAGACACGGCAACATGGCAAACCATCAGGACTCCAGAAGAAGGACCAACATGCATGCAAGTGACTGCTGCAGGAACACCAGTCAGAACCAGGGGAAAATATTCCGAGGCGCAGTTGCGAGTGCCTGTGGTCTGTGACACAGCTCTAGGCTCTGGCCCCAACCTCAGGCTGAGGATGGATCAACGCAGTTCCTAAGGAAGCCCCAGAGGACCCTGTGGCTCAGCAGTCCGCCCACACCACACTCCACTCCCAGCCGCCAATCCCCAACAAAGAAACCAACCACTTCCCTTGTGACACTCGTGGCTTTTGCCTTTTGGAGTCCGTCCCTTGCTTTGTTCTGGGAGGCAGTCGTATTTGTCTTCTATTGCTGAAACAACGCACCACAAATTTAGCAGCTTAACACAACACATTATCACACAGCTTCCGTGGGTCAGGCGTCTGGACACGAGTTTGCTGGGTCCTCCGCTCAGGGTCTCACCAGGCGAAATCGGCGTCAGCCGGGGCTACGTCCTCACCTGAGGCACGGGTCTACTTCCATGCTCGCCCAAGTGGTTGGCAGAATCCAGCTCCCTCCGGTTGTAGGACTGAGGTCCATCTTCTTCTTGGCTGTGGGCAGTTGGCTACCCTCAGCTTCTTGCCACGTGGTCCCCTCCGTGTGCCTTATCACACACAGCATGGCCAGCGGGAGAAGCTGGCTCCACCCAGCAATGATGGAGACTCCATCAGGGAGTGACATCCCCGCACCTTCGCTATGTGGGCGCGAAGGAATATCCCACCACAGTCCCCGCTGCTGCCCACACTCGAGGGGAGGATGCAGGGTGTGGACACAGCGGCCAGGAGCCCTGGGGAGCATCTTAGAATTGTGCCCATTCCCTGGTCCTTGGACGGCTGCTTTCCTTGTGTGTTCCTGTAAATCCCGAGGGCTCTCGAGTTTCCTGCATCAGCAGACCACATGCCCCCGGCATTGAAACCCTACCAGGACTCCATCTCGCTCGCGTGAAAGCCGGACCGGGGCCCCCAGACCTCCTCTTTTCACCCAGTGCTGCTCTCCCTCCTGGGAGGCGGCTTCCCTGGGCCCTGGCCTGGCCGTGGACTTGTGGGTGTTGCTCCTCAGAGGCTGTCCTGGTCAGTCTGGAGGAGGGACCCCCGTCGTGTTTTATCCTCTCGACTGGACCTCTCCTTGTCGTACGTGATCTTATTGGTCAGCGAGCAGGTCTGTGTGTCTCCTCTCTAATAGCGCCAGGGGCAGGCGTCCTGTTCTGCGCTGAACCCCAGTGCTTGGCACACTGTCGGTGCTCAGCAGATGCTTGCTGAGAGACAGAACGGCCCATGTGAGTGCGTGTCTGTGAGTCTGTGTGTCTCTGTGTCTGTCTCTGTGTCTGCGTATCTGTGTGTCTGTGTATCTGTATCTGGTTGTGTCTGTGTGTCTGCTTGTGTCTCTGAGTGCCTGCGGTTTTTCCTTGCAATGAGCCAGGCTGCCTGGAATGTCCGAATCCCCAGGAGTGGGAGCCAGAGTCTGATTCTCAGTGGGCTGGCTGGCTGACCCCCCTTGTTCAGCCTCCTAAGAGAGGGGAGGTGGGTCTGGGCTCTGGTTTGGCCAGGGTTCGGCCAGAGCTCAGGGTGGGACCATGGTGATGTCAGTGGCTTTGTTTTGACCTGGTCTGGTCTCTTCCCAAGGAACAGAGGTGCCAGGCAAGGCTGGGAAATGAGCAGCCACAGGCACTTGGGGAAGAGCAGGGGGCTCAGGCCCTGGCCGTGGGAGGGGCAGGTGGCCTGGTTGGCAGCCCAGGCCTCCAGCTGAGCCTCTGCTCTCATTTGTGGCTATTTCCTGACAAGGACTGGGGGGGAGCCGCAGCCCTTTGGTGCTCATCTTGGCTCCTCTGTTCTCAAGCAGAGAGAACATGATGGGGCAAGGAAGAGGAAGTCACAGCAACCCTCCACTGCCTCTGTCCATCCTTGCCCAGCGGTGTCAGCTTCCCCCCCTGGCACCCCCTCAGATGTCTGCGTTTGGGCTGAGCTAAGGGCCGGGTCTGCAGCTCGAGGGCCCCGCTGGACCTCAGCATGCAGGGCCTGAGGCCAGGCAACCCTCTGGGAGACAGAGGGCTTTGCAAGGAGTTTAGGGTATGGACCGGGCACCCCTCGGCTCCTAGTTCAGGCCTGGGAGCTGACCCTGGCCCCCTTCCAGACTGAGGGGCCGGTCCTGGGCCATCTCTGCCTCCTTCCAGCACTGCTTGGACATCTTCCCTTCATGGAGGAGAGACAGCCCAGCAGACAGAGGCGGGAACAGAGGATAGGGATGGAGAGAGGAGCAGTAAAGGCCGATGGAGAGAGAAACACGGGCGGGGACGCAGAAGAGGGAGGAGGGCCTGGAGGGAGGCCACCAGTGCTAATATAAACCAGTTAGAAAAACAAGAGGAGAGGCCAGGCCTCAAGGCCAGCCAGGCGGGGCTTGTTTTTCCAGAATGAAAGGCCCAGGGAGGAGCTGGGGGGGAGGTGACAAGTTCTGATTTGGAAAAAGGGCTCCCCCACCCAGGGCCTGATCCTGCTGAGGAAGTGGGTCGGTTGGGTCAGGAGTGGGGGCCTCTCTGTGTCCTCACAGCCGGTCCTCCCTGTTGTCTTCCCTCAGTCTCTCTCGCTGCAGCAGCAGCGGCCTCCTCCTTGTGCCCGGAGCCCGAGTCCGGCTGGGCTGGGCTTCTCGGTCATCTGAAGACTTGAAGCCAGGGCTGGGTTCCAGGGTGAGACCCTGGCCCACCTGGGACTGGGGCCTGTGACCATAATTCAGTCCAAATGGGCGGTCTAAAAAATGCACTGTGGGTTTTTGTGGTCGTTTGGATTTTTTTTTTTTTTTTTTTTTGAGGTTTGCTTAACTAGAAAGAGTGGGTTTGGTACACAGTGTGTGCTCTGTTATTTCGCATTTGTTTAGATGATTTTGTAAGCTTTCCCAGAGCTTCAAATTTGTGCCTTCCGCGGGGGAGTCTCCCATACCCCCCTTCCTCACCTCCCCTCTGGGTGGGGTGGGGGTGCTCCTGGGAGCACTGGAACCCCAGGTTTGATTTCAGGGACACCAGACTCAGCCTTTGATGGTGGGAAGAATGGCGGGGGGGGGGGGGCGGCGCCAGGCCAGAGGGGAGGGGGCGGCTCACCCAGCTGGCCCCCCTCGGCGCTCAAGGTCTCCATCCCTCATCTCCCTGGCTGGCTCCTCTGGATGGTAAAGATGACTGAGGAACAGCCCCTCTGGACCCCCCAGAGCTGGTGCTACCCTGATCTTCATTTCACAGAGAGGAAATGCAGCCGCCAGAGGAGAAGGGTGTGCCCGGGGCATCGCACTGCTAAGGGGAGGGGCTGGTGGTCTCACAGCCTGGGCTCCTGGGGGGGGGTCAGCCCCAGGATGCCTTTCTGCTGGCCCACAGTGGAGGAATGCTTCATGCTCCTCAGCAGGCAGGGAGAGGAGGACCCTGCCCAGCGTTGTGGCCAGGCTGCCCACGTGGGGGAATGCCCTGGGCCAGTGTCCCCCTCAGAGGTGGGGCCAGGGGATGCCCACCCCAGAATCCCAGCCCTGCAGTAGCCCCATGTGTCCCAGATACCCAAACAGCAGCTGGGGCCATGCCTTCAGGCCCTCCTGCCCCTCCAGAGGCTGGGCTACTGCCCCCCTCTCCAGGACCCAACCCAGAGAGGGGGCCGAGTCTGCCCGCCCTCCCCTCACCGACCGGACAAGTGGCCGCAGCCGTACCCCTCCCCAGGCCAGCCAAGGGTGGGGGGAGGACAAGGGGCCGGGCAGGAGCCAGAGGGGGCGGTCTGCAGACTGTGGACACAGCCCAGGGCTCCGTGATGTCATGGCGGGTGCTAAGGAGGGGGAGGGGGCCGGGCTGTTTTTCTGGAGAGTTAGAGCTGGAGTGAGACAAAGCAGGCCGGCTGGCCGGGCAGCGCCATGGAGCTGCGGTCCCGAGTCCTGCTCTGGAAACTTGTGCTTCTTCAGAGTGAGTGCAGGCGGGTGGGGGGCAGGAGGCGGAAGCGGGGAGTGGGTCTGAGTGAGTTCGCATCCTGGGCAAAGCTGCCTGTTTGAGCTCAAGCCGGAGGGGTGGCACACCCTCAGGAAGGGGATGGGTCTGGGGGCCTCAGAGGGAGCGGCTCACCACGATAAGGGCCCCCCAGGACCCAGGAGGGTGTGAGGTCTCACTTAAATCTCTGTCCCCCCAGAACTTCCCTCGCACAGACCCGGGGCCAGAGGGCTCAGAGGGCAGGGAGGCCGAGGTGGCGGGTGCCTCCCACGGGGGTCCCTCACGCACCTCGCTTCTCGGGGAGGCCCTTCAGGCCTGTGCTTCTCCTAGTTGTCAGGAGGGGAGTGGGTTGTGGGATTGAGGGAGGCCTGGGAACCATGGGGCTTGCAGGGTCTGTTCTAGCCTCCCTCAGCTCCCAGGCCCCCTGAGCCCGCCCTCAGGGCTGGCCTGCTGATCCTGCGCATTCCTCCCATCCCGGGCGCTCAGCCACATCTCTGGAGCAGAAACTTGGCTTGTGGGGTGGCGGATGGTGGGGTCACTCTCCACCTCCTCATACTTCAGACCTCTGCCCTTTAGGAAGGCCGAGGGGGCCCTGGCCCCGAGCACTGAGTGTGGGACAGGGCTCCCAGCGGTCTGAGGACCCTCCGGGGCTTGTGTGGTGTGGCCGTCGGCAGGTGCACGTGCTATCCAGGATACGCATGTGCAGGGGCCCCCAGAACGGGCGTCAGCGCGTCAGGCTTTGGTGCTTTGGTGGTCTTGCTGCAGTGAAGGTGAGGGTGGCCCTTGGTGACAAGCACACACTCCAGAGCCGGCCTGTGCCGGGTCTAACCCTGGCCCCACCACTCACCCCCACAGGGCAGGCGCTGTCCATGCAGCACAGGCAGGTGGCCGTGAGGATTAAATGGGGGCCATGGGCACAGTGTCCACCCCTCTGGGGCCAAAGGAGACCCCCATCTGTGTCCTCCTGGCTTCTCTGCCTTTACCCATGACACCTGTAAGCAGGTGTCATGAGCATCCACCTCAGCCAGGGCTATAGAAGAGACCCAGGCAGCCAAGTGGGGTGCCCAGATGCAAAGGCTCAGGTCGTCCCCTCCCCAGTATGACTCGCTCTTGCTCTCCTTCCAGGCTTTGCTGTCCTTCTGTCCTCAGGTTAGTGACCACCCTGCCCCTGAAACCACGACAGTCGCCTCCCTTCTCGCCAGCCCCACCCAGTACCTGTTCCCTTGGGTCCCACCCCTCCCTCAACGGACTCCCCCTCCCCACCAGGGCTGTCTGGGCCCCAGACGGCCGGCAGCTCCGTAGTGTCCGAGTCAGCCGTGAGCTGGGCGGCCGGCGCCCGGGCCATGCTGCGCTGCCAGAGCCCGCGCATGGTGTGGACCCAGGACCGGCTGCACGACCGCCAGCGCGTGATCCACTGGGACCTCAGCGACGGCCCGGCCGGCGGCTCGCCGCGCCGACTCGTGGACATGTACTCGGCGGGCGAGCAGCGCGTGTACGAGACGCGCGACCGCGACCGCCTCCTGCTGCCACCCTCCGCCTTCCACGACGGCAACTTCTCGCTGCTCATCCGCGGTACGGGGCCTCGGAGCCGCAGGGGGCGCCTTGGGGGATCCGGGGCGCGCGGGGCTCGGGCCGCGGCGGAGCTCACGGCTGGGTTTTCTCCTGGGTGCGTAGCGGTGGAGGAGACAGACGAGGGCCTGTACACCTGTAACCTGCACCACCACTACTGCCACCTCTACGAAAGCCTGGCCGTCCGCCTCGAGGTCACCGACAACCGTGAGTGTGCCCGCCCCCGCAGGCCCCCGACCCGGTCCTCACGCACCCCTGTCCCCCTGGACGCCCCCTCCCGGCCCCTCCCTCTCCTCTCCCCTCCTCGGTCCGGGATCCCTGACCGCCTTGCGCCCCCAGCCCGGGCCGCTGGCGCGCACTGGGACGGCGAGAAGGAGGTGCTGGTGGCGGAGCGCGGCGCGCCCGCGCTGCTGACGTGCGTGAACCGCGCGCACGTGTGGACCGACCGGCACCTGGAGGAGGCGCAGCAGGTGGTGCACTGGGACCGGCAGCCGCCTGGGGTGCCGCACGACCGCGCAGACCGCCTGCTCGACCTGTACGCGTCGGGAGAGCGCCGCGCCTACGGGCCGCCCTTCCTGCGCGACCGCGTGGCGGTGGCGACGGACGCCTTTGCGCGCGGCGACTTCTCGCTGCGCATCGACCCACTGGAGCCGGCCGACGAGGGCACGTACTCCTGCCACCTGCACCACCACTACTGTGGCCTGCACGAGCGCCGCGTCTTCCACCTGAGGGTGACCGAGCCCGCCGCAGAGCCGCCCCCGCGGGACTCGCCGGGCAACGGCTCGAGCCACAGCGGCGCCCCCAGGCCAGGTGCAGGAGGCCGCCCTGGGCGCCCGGGGAACGTCTTGGAGGCTGAGAACGGCAGGAGACACCCAGGCCCCTCCCACTCCTGTCCAGAATAAGGGACCTGGGTGTTAGCCAAGGGAAGGCCCCATGGACTGCGGCCGCCTGTCCCTTCCCGAGACCCACGCAGCGCAGCCGGGGCGGCCTGGGTCGGGGCGCACCCACCGCGCGGTCGGTCTGCAGCGCGCACCCTGACTTCGCCCCCGCCCGGCCCCTGCAGATCCCACGCTGGCGCGCGGCCGCAGCGTCATCAACGTCATCGTCCCCGAGGGCCGGGCCCACTTCTTCCAGCAGCTGGGCTATGTGCTGGCCACTCTGCTGCTCTTCATCCTGCTGCTGATCACTGTCATCTTGGCCACCCGTCAGCGCCGCCGCGGAGGTGAGCCGGGGCTCGGGGCGCGGGGGGAGCCAGGGGAAGCCGGAACCGGGAAGCCTTTCCCGACCAGAGGCGGGACTTTTCGTGCGGTGGCCTAAGCAGAGGGGGAGCTTGGTGCGGGCGCTGGGAGGGTTCCTCGCGGCTGGGGGAGCTGGGGAGGGGGCAACACTGTCCCCAACACGAGTCTCCCTCCCCAGGCTACGAATACTCGGTCAAGAAGTCGGGGAAATCAAAGGGGTGAGTGACCCCTCCCGGATCTCCTGGAGACCAGGCCCCGCCCCACCGGCCACGCTAACCTGCCACCACCCTCCCCCATCCAGGAAGGACGTGAACATGGTGGAGTTTGCTGTGGCCACAGGAGACCAGGTTCTTTACAGGAGTGAGGACATCCAACTAGGTGAGGGGGCCCTGGACACCAAGGCAGAGACTGTGGCTCCCAGGCCTGAGCTGGGGGAGGCACATCTCAGGGAGGCCCCTCACCCTGCCTCTCCCTACCTAGATTACAAAAACAACATCCTGAAGGAGAGGGCTGGGCTGGCCCACGGCCCTGTGCCTGCCAAGTACGTGGACTTGGACAAAGGTGAGTGGCTGGGAGGGAGACCTCCTCTGCCCATCTCACAGCCAGGCCCATACCCCACCCCACCCACTCGCAGAACCCCGAAGGCACCAGCCAGCCCCACAGGCAGCAGTCTGTGGGCTCCAGAAGTCCCTGGACAGTCCTGCTGGATGTCTCCCTGCATTTCCCCCTGTGGCGGAGGAGCAGAGGGCAGACGCCCACCTGTTCCCTTGGCTTCCAGAGTTCAGGAAGGAGTACTGCAAATAAGGTGATCCTGGGCTCCTGGCTGGGCCAGCAGCTCTGCCATCTCCTGTCTGTCCGTCTTGGAGGACGTCCTCCTGATCCTCATGCAGCTCACCCGGCCCCCCTTCCAGCGGCTGGTCCCGCTGTCCTGGAACTTGGCCTGGACTGGTGCAGAGTGAGGCTGCCTCCAGACCCCTCTCCCAGGAGCACCCTAACCCTCACGAGCAGCAGTGGGCTCCTTGGGACTCTGCAGGCTGTGGCTGCGCCCCTTCAGCAGCCCTGGGCATGTGCCCACTGGCTCCCATGCTCACTGGTGTCCTGGTGTACCCCCCACACTGCACAGCAAGACCCCTCTGATGTTCACCAAGCCCTCAGGCTCTCCCGGCCTCTGTCTTGGAGGGGGCTCAGCTGGGACTCGGAGCTGTGGTCAGCCTCAGGGCTGGCACTCCCACCCCTTCCTTGGGGGAGCTGCCTGCTGGCTCCCCGTGCGCTACCCAGCCAGGCTGCTATGGGGACCTGAGGAGTGCGCACTCCAGGCCCCACTGATGCCCCTGTGCGCTGCATCAGGCCACCTGGGGCTGCCATGGGTCCCTTCTCTGCTTCCCTCTGCTCCAGCCTTGTTTCCGACCAGCTGCCTTGACAGTCACTGGGCTCCATGTGACTTTAGACCCTGACCCCCCCTCCCACGGCCCCTCGCTGGGCTGGAGTCTGGCTCTGAGGCCTCGTTTGGCTTCTGTTTTGGCTAAAGACAGGGGTGGGGGTGAAGAGGGTTCTAGAGTGGCGTGCTGCCACTGCCGACACCCTACGTTTGCTCCTCCGGGGAAACTGCCGCCATTGCAATAAAGACCACATTTGATTTTTAGACCTGGCCCATGTATGCCTCTGCAGCACCCCCTGCATCTCCTGGGGGCAGAGTCTGGGCCTCAGGAACTCCCAAGTGCTTTCCTTCATCTGAAGTCCTCCTGTCATCGCCCATTCCATTTGAGTGGAAGTTCTGGGTCCAGGTATCCTGGGAAAGGGGACATTGGAGCCAATTCTACAGCACTTGGTTGTGAAGCAGTTTCAGACTCCTGGGTTTATTTATTTGGATATGGGAGAGGGAGCATGTTGGTGGACATGAGGACAGAGAGGGGCACTGTGTTATGTTAGTTCAGTCCTCTGAGAAGCAGACGCTGAGATGGTTAGCCAGCAGGATGAAGGGGGAGGAGGCGGGAGAGGCAGGAAGCCTTCAGACAGAGTGGGCATGACACTGGTGAAGGGAGAGGGTGCTGCGGTAGGAAGAAACCTGTGTGTCTCCCCAGCCCTGACCCCATCCTTTGGAGCCCTCCCAGGACAGCAGGGACAGGAAAGAATATGCAGGTTATGATGGCTGAGTGAGGAGGCACAAGCCCCCCGCACGCCCTCAGCATCTGAGCTCCCCCTCTGGGGAGGTGGAGACCCCGGGCTCATTTCGCCTGAAGGTGCAGCTGCAATACAGCCACACACAGGAGGTCGTCACAAGGTTTATTACTTACAGATCCCAGAAACGGGGTGCAACAAGCCAGGGACGCCTCCGTCCCAGGTCATGAACCAACAGGAGACAGAGCAGGATGGCACCTGTTATGTAGAAGGTGTTGGGGGCGAAGGTCACTAATTTTTTGCAGGCTCAACTCTGAGTGGAAAAGCGGAGGGGAACTTGTGGTGGGAATCCTAAGCTCAGGTCCTTATCTTAATTTCCAGACTCGGTGTGAGCAGGTTGTCATACTGTGAAATGCTGAGGCAGCGACTCACAATGGCTGTTTTCTCATCACACACCCACACGGACCCCACAGTGGCAAAGGCAGGGAGGGAGACTGGGCCGGGGAGCTGTGGCTTGCTTGAGAGTGTGCCTCCTTCCCAGCCCAGTGACCCCTGGCCCAACAGTGGCTGCACTGCCACTGGATGAGGCCCCTCCTGTAAGGGCTCAGGCGCTGGCTGGCCACTCAGCCCTCCTTGCAGGGCCCCAGCCAGACTACATCAGCATCAGCACTTGACTGTTCTCTGGTCTTTGGTTTACTGGTCTCTCTCCTATGACTTGGGCTGAGGGTCAGGTTGGAGAGGGAGGCTGGGGGAGAGGCTGGAGTGCAGCTGGGACGTCGGACCCCCTGCATCTGTGTGACCGTCAGCCATTTGTGTCTGGTGTAGGGGATGCTGGTCCCCTGGTGGGTTCTCAGGGCAGGGACTGTCTTCCTCCTTCCCTGGACACCCAGTGGAGAGCCACGGATTCTTCCTCGAAGGCCATCCTGCCTGGCTCCTCAGCTTACCTCTGGGGAAAGCGAGACCCAAGGGGAGAAGGCCCAGGCTTTGCTGAGTGGGTGCCAACCTCACAGAGCCCTGCCTGCCCTCCCCATCCGAGCCTAGGGGTATGGAGGTCAGGACCCCTGGCCTAGGTTGACCTGGGGGTGGTCCCCAGCCTGGGCTTAGGGACTTAGGTCCAAGCTCTGGCTCCTCCAGTCACTAATGGACTGATGGGGTCTTTTCCTGTGTTGGCCCACTGCCCACGGATGGTCAGGACCAAGCAGATGGCAGAGTCCTAGGCTCCAACCAGCTTCAAGGAGGGTCCTGGGGTCAGGTCACAGGGGCGTCAGATACTGCCCACTCCCATCACTTTAACGCCCCATCCTAGGGTCTCTCCTCTCTTCACTCTCGCCAGCGTGGGACTCTCTCTAGTGGCCTCGAGTGTTCCTCCAGGGGTGGAGGGAGAGAGAGCCGCTCCCCACAGCGGGAGCAGCATGTGACTGGACCCTTCACAGCCCGAGGGGCGCTGCTCCGAGTCTCCCTTGCCCCGCGGTAGACTCTAGGCTGGTTCAGTGGACAGCGGCCGGAATCCCTTCACCTGCTGCCAGAAGCACGGTGCCTGGGCACCTCTGTGCACACGTGCGTGCGCACAGCTGCCCGCGCTGACCCTCGCTGTCGTCTGGAGCTTCACACACACGTGCTCACACTTGCACTCCCGCGTCCACGCGAGCACTTGCATTCACTTGGCTCGGAGTTTCTCGGAGCCTCAGTGGCACCCGGCAGAGGGCGCGCGAGCTTGGAGCTAGCGCGGGGGCGCAAAGCGACCGAGTATCCTCAGCTTCCCGCGGGGCCCCCCTCAGCCCGCCGAAGTGACCAGGGCGCCTCCGGACTGTGAGCACCCACGGACCTACGAGCCCTCGCGAGGGGGCGGAGGACTGGAACCTGGCCGAGCGACTCTCCTGGGGGCTGCAGCCGATCCACAGGGCTCCCAGCGGGCGCGTGGCGTGGCCTGGGGCGAGGTTTCCCTTCTGACAGTTGGGGGCGCGACGTGCAGGTGGAGGGCGAAGCTTCCTGAGGGTCCCCACCCACCTCTTGCCCCGGGGTCGCGCCCCTGTCCGCCCACCGGCCGAGAGCCCAGGCCCAGCGCGTCTTGTGCGCGCCCCTGCGGCCCGGCCGGAGGGGTCCCGGCGAGGGGCGGGGGGCCGAGTGCGGGGT